GAGGGCTCAGTAAACTCTGCCATTGTCACCTACAAATGTGTCTACTTATCCTTTCATCACCATCTTCTATTACAAGATCCGAAGCTCAGGACTCCAGAGCCTTCCACCTTCTTGGAGACCTTGAACTATCTATTATCTCTCCTTTTTCTGTGTCTTTAATCTCTTTCTCTCTACAGGATCCTTCACAGGACATCTTCAAAATAAATAAAGATTAAGTTCCAGGAGCGCCTGGCTGGTTGAGTCAGTAGAGCATGTGACTCTTGATCTAAGGGTTGAGAGTTCAGGCCCCATGTTGGGCGCAGAGTCAACCAAAAAAGAAAAAAAAATAGAATAAATTCTGTCTCTGTCCAACCTCTCCCTCCAGTTGCTGCTTAGCTTTCTCCTCCCTTCATGGTCACCCTTCTCGAGAGAATCCTACTCACACCTGGGACTGTCCTTCCCCAAGAGCATAAACCACTTCTATGTTGCTAAGTTCAATGGAAACCTTTCAGTTCCTTCTTATTGAACCACTCGGCAGCACTCAACATAGTCCACGCTCTCCTTCTGCAAACGCTCTCTTCCCTTTCCTTCTCTTCTGTGACACTCTACTTTATTAGTATATATCTTTCTACCTACCTAGCTGTTTTATGTTAATCTCCATTTCTCACTCTTTATCTTGCATTTACTTTGAAAGGTTGGAATGTCCCATGGCTCAGCTCTAGGGCTTCCTCTCCTTCCACACACCTCCCCACCCCAGCACATCTGCTTCATTTCCGTAGCTTTCACTGCAATCCACATTCCCACAGCATTGTACCACTCTTGGGATGAAGCTCTTAGGGGGACATGCAAGACCCTGAGTGATGTCTCCTATCTGCGTCTGAAGCTTTTGCCCTCACTTCCTGCACTCCCAACAAACTGACTTTTTTCATTTCCATCACAGCACCGTGACCTTCGTACCCCTGGCCATTTGCACATTCTTCTCCCACAGCTTGTTACAGTCATCCCCATACCTCTCGAGTTTGGCTGTCTGACTTTTAGTCATTCTGCAGGGCCGAGCCTCAGTGGCACTTTCTCAGGGAAGCATTTCTTGCTTGTCCAATTAAGACAGGCTCATTTTCTTTTCAGGTTCAGTTCTGGTTTTTCTTTTAAGATTTTATGTATTCATGAGTGACACACAGAGAGAGGCAGAGACAGAGGCAGAGGGACAAGCAGTCTACCTGCACAGAGCCCGATGTGGGACTCAATCCAGGACCCTGGGATCATGACCTGAGCCAAAGGCAAACACTCAACCACTGAGCCACCAAGATGCCCCATCAGGCTCAGTTTTTATATAATTTTACAGTATAGTGTATCTCTCCAGATTATAATTTATTTATTTATAATTGTTTACTATTCATTCCCTCACCAGACATTAAGCTCCATTGCCTGTTGCTGAACATCCCACATATAGTAGGTATTCAATATAATTCATTAATTCACTGAGCAAATGTCTTCTTTCAAGAGTCCTTTCCAGTTTTATAAGGTGTAGCCCTCCTGATGCACCTCTAATCGCTATCCTGACAGTTAATGGGAGATCCCATTCATTTTTAAAAGTACAACCCCACTCTATCTCTTTGACTCCCCAGGAGTTTTCTGGAAAGGGTAATCCGTGTGGCATTCACGACCCACTGCCTGCTGATCAGTGAGGCAGGGAATTCGGTCATTGCCCTTGGTGATCATTAGAAGGGGCTCTTTGCCGAGCTTCACCAGATGTATGAGAGCCTGGTGCAGACCAGAAGTGCTAACGTGGTGATGTGCTGACTCTGGCAGGAACGGGGCTAGTTTCATCAGCTGCTGTGCACCTGAATGCTGATGTCTAGTTCAAGATGAGTCTCAGAACGATGCTACTTGCTCTTTGAGCCTCCTTTCCAGGAGTTTGGGCCAGCTTTTGAGATGAAGAAGCAGACAGCAGAGGTGGTGAGGAAAGCTTCATCGGTGATAGACTGTCTTTTGTAAACAGGAAGACTGGCCATCAGCCCCACGTACTCTCCTCATGCCCTGAGGAAGCCTGAAAGAGTGGTACCCAGTCTCACTTTCTGTGGCTGAACAAGCCTACTATTGTAAGGAATAGATCTGCTGGCATTGTAGGATGGAAGGCCATTTTGTATCAGGGTTATAAGAAACTGCTGCAAGGAGTATAATTGGCTGGCAGCCCCTGGCTGCCACACTTTGGAAACTGCTGCAATGGGCTTCACTCAGCCAATAGTTGGTTCATTTTATGCCAGCACTCTCCCTCAAGTCCTAGCTTGAATTTTCCCTCGAGTTTTGTCTCCCCTTAGCACTGCATGTACTGGGGTCGCCTTCAGACACAGGTCGTGGTGGAATTTGATGTAGCAGATACTTTCCTGGGGTGATTAGTCTAGAGGGTACAGTTCTTACTGGGTTCTATATTTTAGGGGAAAGAGGATGAAGAGTGCTCCCTCAAAAGTCCTCTTTCTGGGTATCTGAAGAACAAGGGCCCATGAGGGAGGCTCACCTTGGACTTCCCTTCATTGATGGCTGGTAGTGATTTAGCTCACAAATCAAAGCCAACCAAATTTCTAGAATCCTGTGCTTTTCTTGGTGTTATTTATGGAAATGACAGGTAGCCACACTGTTCATCCTGCTGATTCCTAAATTTCATATGAAATATGCACTCATCCTACTAACATTCAAGTTTCCCATGAAATATACAGCACTCACAGGATATTCTCAACAGAAACCTAATCGAATCTATATCTCTTTGGGGTGTTTGGGTGGCTCAGTAGGTTGAGCATCTGCCTTTGGCTCAGGTCACGTTTCCAGAGTCCCAATATCGAGCCCCACATCAGTCTTCTTGCTCAGCAGGGAGCCTGCTTCTCCCTCTCCTTCTGCCTGCCACTCTGCCTGCTTGTGCTCTCTCTCAGTCAAATAAATAAATAAAATCTTTTTAAAAAATCTATATCTCTTGGGATCCCTGGGTGGCGCAGCGGTTTAGCGCCTGCCTTAGGCCCAGGGCGCGATCCTGGAGACCCGGGATCGAATCCCACGTCGGGCTCCCGGTGCATGGAGCCTGCTTCTCCCTCTACCTATGTCTCTGCCTCTCTCTCTCTCTGTGTGTGACTATCATAAATAAATAAAAATTTTTAAAAAATCTATATCTCTTCTATTACTTTAGGATTATTTTGCTTGCAGTTTGACTCAAACTCATATTTGCCAAGCCCCCCCCAAAAAGGTGAATTGATTCATTTAAATAACAAAGAAGTCCAGTAGATAGATGTAGCTTTGCACATTATTTCTTATTAATGGAGCATAAAAGCTTCCAACAGCCCCAGCTTACCTGGTCTTCACAGGTGCTGATCTAAGAAGGAAGAACTTATTTTACACAGGGCTGGTAAACTACAAGACCTTGGACTGGCCAGTATGAGCTATAAGCCCATTTCTGAATCAATCACTACGGTTAGGTAGTAGAGGTGTTTCATATGGAAAATATTTGCAATACATATAACCGAGAAATGACATAATTTTTTATATCGAGCATACATTAAAAACTCCTATTAATAAGAAAAAGACAAATGACCTAGGAGGAATATAGACAAAAGCCACAGAAGAGGAAAACGAGGGACAATAAAAATATGAAAAATTCTCACTACCAATAGTATTTGGTGAAATAAATGTAAATTAAAATGATGAAATACCAGTTTTACTCTCTTCAAATGTAGGAAATCAGAGGCAAATGATGATGAGAGTGTGGGGAAATGGGGCCCCTCCTACACTGCTGGGGAGTAAATATACCATCATATATCCATAATTCATGCCTATGTTGTCAATAGATATAATGGATAGTGTAGTACATATTAGCACGGTAAAGCCTCTAAGACATTGTTCAGTGGGAAAAGGCAATTCGCACAGTGCAATGTTTTGGAAGCTGTGGAGGTACACCTTCAGGAGACCTTGCTGCAAATGTGATGGGCTGACAGCCCACAGCTGTCAACTCCATGGACTCATGAGCCCAATGAATGAGGAGACATTAACACAAGGCAAAAAAATCTTAAAACAGTGAAGGAAGAACAATGATAGAGATGTGTATGATACACACACACACACACACACATGCACACACACACGTATTATGTACATGTGTGTGCCCAGAGGAGGCAAATCCAATGCCACTTGGGATACGGGAAGAAGATAGGGGACTTTTAGTCTGGGATGGCTCCCAGGAGGAGCTAATGATCAAGCTGAGATAGATGTTAACTGTGCAGAGAGGAGGAAAGCATTGCAAGCAGCAGAACAGCATGAGCAATTCATGGAGAGAAGAGAACTGCACCCCGGGAACTTACGACAGGTTTCTAATAGAGGCTTGGACTGTAACAGGTGAGGCGAAGGAGGTGGGCAGCATCAGGCAAGGCCTCCTTGGTCGAATTAGAAAGGTTTGAGTAGGTTTTTATGTGGTGAGGAGCCACGGGAGGCTCTGGAGCAGGAGGGTTCATCTGAGAAGAGGTTAGAGGATAGCAAGCCCTAGGCGAGGACAGACAGGATGCTATCACCATCGTGCCGAGAAGGTGAATGTCTGGAAAGGAGCCTGGGATCGCCTTAGATGAGTCGGCATCAATGGAGGGGAAGAAGTCCAGGAATACGGAGTTGGTACCATGTGTAGGAATGGGGAGCGGGCTGGAAGTAGGCGGTGGGGTGAGACATGGGGAGGAGCCCGATTAGATAGACCCAGGTTCTGGCAGGAGGGCGGAGAGGTGGGGAACTGAATCAGATCAGGAAGCCTACACCTCAGGGAACACGGCGATGGTTGCAAAGGCATCTGGTATTGTCCTTCTGCCACTGTCTTAAAAGGGATTCTAAAGGGATTTTCTTTCCCTTGTTCCTCCAGCACTACACTTGCATTACTGGCCTAAGTGGATACTCACCAGCTGGCCGTGTCCATCACTACAGCCAAGTCGGAGAATTCCTGATTATACTTAGAGCCTGTGGAGCTGCTGACACAAACAGTCATTAGCAGACAACCCTTTTGTATCAAAGTATGCTTTAAAATGTAAACTGTGGGCGCATTTTCCTTGCATTGTCCAGAAGGAACTTTCTCCTGCCTGAGCCTGGATTAATCATGAGAGAGCTGGTCAACATTCCACTGGTACATATCCTTACTTTGGTTGCCTTCAGCGGGACTGAGAAACTTCCAAAAGGTTTGTTTCAGGAATCTTGTCTTCATGTTGCCTTGTCACAGTTCTAAGTGCATGTGTGTGTGTGCGTGTGTGTGCTCTGATCACGACTGCTTTGTATTCTGGGGGCCTGAGTTTTACTTGGTGAAGTAGGGGTGCAATGTACGGAGAGGGAGAAAACTGTATAAATAAGCATCTGATTGATGGTCTCATTTCTACCGGTCTCCCTCCCCCACTTAAGTTCCACAATACAAAGTTGAGCTGCACAATGTGCATGCGGAGCTCTGGCTTGGAGGGAAACGTCAGCAGGTAGACTGCAAGTTATCAAGGTCCGTGCTGTTTATGTGTGTGTCAAACTTCAGGGTGGTCTAAACGGATGATGAAAACCTTTTCACGTTGGGGTTGCCGGGAATATAATCAACCCTACTCCCAGATGTCCACAGTGTTTGCTTCTGAACCAAAATCATTTCTATTTTCAGTTTCAGTTTTGCAAAAATTTTAGTAAGTATTTTAGGTCCTAAAAACCAGAATTACAGAGGGACTCGCACGATTTGCCTATATAATCAAAGGCTGAAGACAATGAGTTCTCAATAATGTTGAGGTTGGAGGCATGATTGGGCTTGGCAAGAGACTGTGAAAGGTTTTTTTCAGAGCCTTTGGAATGTACCGGAAATAACACCACCTCAGGGAAAGGAAAGGAACTTAAGAAACTGACAGACACCTGTTGCCACAGCAAGAATGTCCACAGTGATATGGTTTCTGGCCAGTGTATTATGAAACTGAGGCTGGCGTATTTCAAATCAGGAAGAAAGACAGGAAAATATGTGATTTGCAAAGTGACTGAGGGTTTCTTTGAAATGTTTTTAAAGACCCAAGTAAGATGGAATGATATCAATTAAAGAGTCTTCAGATTAAATGTAGTAGAGTAAAAAAAGAGTTCTGTGTTTTATGATACTTGGAATTAATTATTTTCCCTTTACGTTACCTTCCCAAAGAACCGAACACGTTTGTGTTGTGTAGATAAGTGAAGGTAGTATCTGTATGTAGGTGGGAAACGTAGCTGGAGATTTTGTGGTTCGCTAGAATTTCGGGAGTCACACGGGCAAGACTGCTAATAAGATACAGCTTTCCTCACAAACAATCTGATTTCAGTTTTATGTTGTTTTGTTTTCCTTTCTATCTTACATTGGGCAGAGTGATATCTTCAGATGTACTTAAACGTTTAATTGCCAACTAATACTTTAGGGTATCTCCAGATAAAGAAGAATCTAGATCTTTTCAAACAGCTAATAATAGACAGAAAGACTTAACATTGGCTTCAGATTATTTTAATACTTCCTGGTCATACAACGGATGTCCGGGAAGACGGCACCTGAATGTTCACACTTATGGATTATGAGAAGTCTTATTTGCGCTATTCTAAACCACTAAGTTACATAAATACAACGTGGTTAAATGCTAAAATTTACTAAAATTCAATTTACTAAATTGCATGGAGAGCAAAACAACTGATTTTGATGGTTAACATCAGGATTTGGTGCATTAGAAAAACCCCCAAAACCCACCCCTCTATATAAACAACTTCTAATTTATATTCTAGAAGGAAATGATTTATAGTTCCCAAGCTTTATAGGTAAGGCCCTTAATTCAAATGCACACTATCTCTCTTATGAAAAATTCAAAATATGGTGACATAAGGATAATAAAGCCAAACATCTTGGCTTTTAAATAAAATGATCAGATTGTCAATCCAACTTTGTTTGTTTACTGCTATAATTTCTTGTAAAATGAAAATTTTAAAAGAATATTTTTGCCCAGTCCACTCTATTTATGGTAAAATATAAGATAGTATGAACTTAACACCAACCTTAGCCAAGAACACCAGGCCTAGTAGAATAAACATCCATTAACTACACACACCAGCTCTGAGACTAGGCATTTTCATAAAAACACAGTCCTTAGAGTTCATGGAATATATCGGCACAAAACCCCCCAAAATATGTTATTATTTTAATACTACTAAAAGTAATAAAGATGTTCTACACAAACTATCTCATAGTTATTTTCTCTGTTCTTGACAGAGAATAAAAAGAATTTTTTAGATGAACACCTTTGTCCTAAGTCCTTTATCATGAACGGATCAAGGAATCTCCACAATACTGTGTTATGAAATAGAATGACAGATTTTAAATAGTGCAAGAGTATTTAGTGGATTCTTTTCTAACTGTCCACATATCATTTCCTCAAAAAAATTAATAACAGACTTTGTAGCATTAATAGTTTGTTGTTTTCATTTTAGTTTGAGATTCCTAATGTTCAAAGACAATGGGAAAAGACACTCGTTCTGACTCATTATGACTAGTGATACTTTCAGCGATGAGCTCGATATCATAGCCCATAAGTAGGAGAGATTTACAAACATTCCTATATGAAAGTAACCAACGTTTCATTGAATACGCATCCAAACCACACACTTCCATAATATTTAGTGCTTTATCAAGGAGTATGAAGTCTGCAGTGGGAGTTAAAATGTGTAGGAGTATAGGACTTCAGGTAAGCAGCACTAAGTTTGTTTAATACGTACAAAGAACTCCTGTCCAAACTCCACTTTTTAAATTATTCCATTTACCCCATCCCTAGAAGTTTCTGAGTCTAAGTGATTTCTCTTCAGATATATTTGAGTAACTTCCTCTTCTAAATCGTACGTATACAAAGATAGGATTCACAGATTCAACATATGACTAAGTCAGAGCAGGCACAGCTGTCATTGAAATCCGGGACACCGAGTCCTGGATGAATATTGACGTGCATTGAAAGAGCAACTCATTGCGTGTTTGGGGAAACACAGTTGCTTTAAATATTATTGACCTTAAAGAACAGAAAGAAGGAGCAGAAATGTCACGATTTCTGCCACATTTCCAGAGCAGGAGGCAACGTCTCAGTGAAATAGGACTTAAGGTGTGGGGGAAAGGGACAAGAGAGGGGTGAGGATCGGCCCCAAAGGATGTGGCCCTATTCAGGAAAGTCAGCAAAGGAGCAGACCAGAGCATGCAGAAGAATGACATGGGTCGTGCTGAGGACCCAGCTGGGGTTGGGGAGTGAGACTTTGTCGTGGCCTTGATTTACACCACCATTCCACTGCATCTAACAATACCATTAGCACATAGGGGCAGCAAGGACAGCTGGCTGGATTAGTTCAAGGTTGGTGCTTCCCAGGGTCAGCGCAGCTCAAGGACTAGAGAGTATGGGAGCTGAGATTATATGGCAGCGTGCCGGGCAGTCAAGGCTGAATAGCGAAGGCAGTGAAGTGAGGACATTTAAAGCCTGGAAGAGAATGTTAAGATCGAGTTCCTTTTCCTAGTCTCTAATGTCTTTCCGTGTGTCTTTAGGGACAGCACATGGTCTCCGTTAGCCTCTGTTTCCTTGTAAAACGAAGAAGTGCACACTAGTGCTCAACGTATAATGCTATGTACCGTGCCAAGGACTGTCAATGATTGGGGAAATACATGTTCACTCTTGGGTAACATGCCCATTTTAGATGGGTCTCTATGAGACCATGTCTTAACCCAAATGAATTCCCTCAGGAGAGGCAATTTCAGAGATTCTAACAGGCTACCGGCCTATGCCCCACACCAGTCTTGAAGGCAAAGACCAAAAGTGTGTTCTGTAACAAAGAATGAATGATACATCATTAATAAGTGATTGAGATTATCGATGAAGTTTACAAACTCCAGAGGCATCATAATCAAAGAACTTACATTTTATTATATCAACAGGAGAATGAATGTGTCAATTTCTAAGCTAAGCCAAATGATGAGCAATACTGAATATCCTCTTTCTTTGGGGAATCTGAAAAAATTTCTGACACCAGAGTGTTTTTTCATACTGAAAAAACAATACTGTATTTATGATGTTAGAAAAAAAAAACATGAATACATCCCAAGTCTGAGCTCTAATTTTATTAAAACAGAAAGAAGCAAATACACTTGGCTACTTGGTTTTTTCAGTCATTTGGTCGTGTTAATCAACAACTATTCAATCAGAAGCTGGCACGTCAATGGCCATGCGGTAGAGCCCATAAAAGGGTAATGTCATGTCCTTCAAGTTAAGCTACTCTTTGGGTACAGGAAGTGTTGTGCTCATTTTCATGTATTTGTTATTCATGTGGTCCTTGGATTAGGGAAGAAATAGTGCCCTAGTTTAAACAAGCTCCAGCTGAGATGAAAGCTGGATAAGAGAATGAAAGTAAACATGAGACAACCTGCTGAGTCAACAAATATCATTAAATACAACAACGTGATTTTGTCACGATTTGAAAGTGGATTTGTTTGGATAATTTTCAAAATTTGAAAGATAGGCAAAGTGAACTTAACCAACTATATCCTGCCTATATAAGTTAATATTAATGTAAACCTTATTCTTCCCCTCTGTCTGTAACTAGTATTATGTTGAAGACATGGAATAGCTTAGAGTTAAAAGAGAAACTTTAAACCAACCTTCACTTTGACATTCAGTTCTAACACTTCATACTTCCATTATGTTTAGACAAGTTACTTAACCATTCTTAGCCTCCATTCCTTATCTGCGAGTGAGAATATAGTATCTGCCTTTATGTTTGTTGTGGTAAATGAGATAATGAATAAAAAGTATAATGCATGGCCCGTGGCAGGTTCTTAATTTTGGATGCTAAAATTATTTTTTTTAATATTTTATTTATTTATTCATGAGAAACACACACACAGAGAGGCAGAGACACAGGCAGAGGGAATAGCAGGTTCCCCACAGGGAGCCTGATGTGGGACTCAATCCCAAAACTCCGGGATCATGCCCTGACCCGTAGGTAGATGTTCAACCACTAAGCCACCCAGGCGTCCCTAAAATTATTTTTATTATTTTTTAAATATTTTACTTATTTATTCATAGACACAGAGAGAGAGAGGCAGAGACACAGGCAGAGGGAGAAGCAGGCTCTATGCAGGGAGCCCGATGTGGGACTCGATCCGGGTCTCCAGGATCGCACCCAAGGCTGCAGGTGGAGCCAAACCTCTGCGCCACCGGGGCTGCCCCCTAAAATTATTTTTAAAAAGAGTCAAACATGAGACAAGACTGCTGTGTCACTGTACATGATGGGAAGGTGTTAATCTAATAAATTTCTTCATAACACCTCATGTATGTCTCCGTAAGCGTCAGAACATTGTAACATTACTTCCTACATCCTAACTGGTCTCTCAACAGTTTGTAAAAACATTAATAGTGTGTCCATTACCTCTGTCACTTTGAAAGTATCAAGTGAGAAGAAGCTGATGACTCAAGTTTATTTTCTTGTAATACATGGCCATGAAGAATGATTTTGAAAATACAAAATATAGAAAAGCTTAAAATAGAAAAAGTCATCCTGACTTCCAAGACTGTTAACATGTTGGTATATTTTCTTTCCATTTTTTCCTAGGTATCATAAAAAACTGTTTATAAGATTCTGCTACCTGCCATTTCTACTCAACATGAACGCATGAGCATATTCTATATTCTCTATACTCTAACATACCATTTCCAGTGACTGTGTAAATAATGTCCTGTTTAGATAAGAGTTGCTGATACATGTTTAATATCCACCTCTCTGATACAAAAAAAAAGGCCCTCATTTGTTGTATTTGTTGATTTCTGTACCGTAAATACTCCAACCACACCCAATTTCAAGCTAACGATGAATATTGAATTGGGAAGAGATGGGCAGTAGCATGCCTTTATATACTATTTCTACTGCACAGATACATTGACTGTAAATTACTCCAAGAGCGTAGATAACAGTAAAATATAGTAAAATAATTAGGAAGTAATAAATTTTGAGGATTAATACTCTTTGACATGATTTATTTAATTATTATTATTTTATTTTAATTTGTTAACAGGGGTCTTGTTAACACACAATGTTAGTGTTAGTTTCTGGTGTACAACATAGTGATTCAACTTTTCTATACGTTACGCTACACTCGCCACAAGTGGAGCCACCAACTGTCACCTAAATTTATATAATTTAATTTTTACTAGTGGCTCTATTTAACAACTGTCTCACAAAATTCTTGAAAACTTAACACTTGGCTCTACCTAGCAAGCCAATACTAGCCAGCACCAGCAGACCACAGTCAGAAAGCAGAACCGTGTGCTGGAACTTCGTTCCACTGCAGCACAATTAGTACAATTTAGTACAATTAGCCTGTTTTGCACAGTGAAAAGTCATCTATGTGCCTTTCCACCTTGAGATTATTTCCTTGGGATAGATTCCCAGAAGTAAATATTAATAATAAGTTCGCAAGTCATCCAGAGACCAGCAGAACAACTGAGCTGTTCAGGCTCCCTTTTCTAAATTACCAAATCAAATAACACACAGTGTTCCATATGGGCAAAGGACAATTTTAAATGCTTCACCTATATTCGTTTAATGAGTCCTCCTGACAAGCCTCTGTGGTGGTTCTATTATCGTCTCCATCTACAGCTGACGATGCCGAGACACTAGCTGGGTGAGTTGGTGGATTGGGAAGTGATGGAACAAAGATTTAAACTCAAGCCCTGTGCTAGCACCTCCCACTGTCTGGCTGCTTAATGGTCCTTCCTTTCAAACAATGGAAGCATTCAGTATTATTAATTCAGCTTGGGGCCCATCATCATCCACATCCCACAAGCTTAAATATAATATCACTGTTTTTATTTCTTAACATCTCTATTCCTATACAACTGGTAGCTTATTTTATCCATGGGAGCCTTAACACCGATGTAGAAAAGCTGTCATTTCACCTACAAATTCTGCTTTTTTATTTCAGCTATTCTCTTTCAGCCTTTTAAAAAGTATATGCCTTTCATAAAGGCCTCAGAAACACAGTTCATTTAAACATCACATCAGTCAATGTGCCAATGTTAGGGATAGAAGAAGGTGTAAGACATGGTCCCTGGCTCCAAAGTTCAAGGTTTTTTATAATTGAGTAATGGGAAAAAGACATAAACCAATCATCCTAACAGCGTCTGTGTGACAAGTGCTGTGAGAATGACATTTACAGCATGAGCTAAGGTTAAGGAAAAGGGCATTTGGCTCTGTCTAGCAAGTCTGGAAAATTGAGAGGAGATGCTGCTTTAACTGGATCTTAAGAAAAGAACATTAAAGAGGAAGATGTGGGCTAAGTGGGATGCTCCCAAGGTACCATGTTCCCTTATTCTCAGCCCACAAATGTGTCTCTGAGTTTACTGAAAAAATAAGGTTCATTTAGACAGTGGATGCATGTTTCATGGCCAATGTGCCAGTTTGTTCCAGGTGTTTCATGAGGCTATCACCCTCTACCCTGCATCTAAAATATGGTTCACACTACTTACTTGGCTGTCCTGTGTGCCTTGCATTTTAACAAAAGCAAACATATAAATTTATTATCCAAAGTCAGGTACTTGCAGAGTACAGAAAGCACTAGTCATAATTATGTCAGGATAGCAGGCACAACTATTATAGCTGATCATTTTATGTATCTACCCATCCTCATTATCTAGATTGTAGCAGAGATGGGTATTACACATCTTGTTCCTTCTAGTCAACCTGGTGCTTACTACATGGGAAACAGTAAATAGATCTCTGATAAATAATAACAATATAGTAATGATGATAATTATTATATTTTTAAAGATTTTATTTATTTATTCATGAGACACACACACACACACACAGAGAGAGAGAGAGAGAGAGAGAGAGAGGCAGAGGGAGAAATAGGCTCCATGCAGGGAGCCTGACGTGGGACTCGATCCCAGGTCTCCAGGATCACACCCTGGGTTGAAGGTGGTGCTAAACCGCTGAGCCACCTGGGCTGCCCGATAATTATTTTAAATAAGATTATGCAACGCGGTAGATTTCTAGACTCACCCAAATACAAGTGTGGGCACTGGCCCACACCATCCAGCCCATGAGATGCCCAGGACCCCACCTCGTTTGCTTCGGTGTATTCATAGGTTTCCTTAAGCATTAAAGAAGGGTGTATCCTACTACCAATAACTTCTCATTCTTCTCAAATTCTTTATCCTCCAAACTTTTATAATCCAAGTGACCCTCATTTCATGGGGGGGGGGGCAGGAGGAAAGAAGGCACCGTGTCACAGCTTCTCCTCTTGTCTTTTTGTAGAATAAACAAATACACACGCATGTGCACACAGAGGTACATACACACACAAACAAAACAATAACAAAACACAAAAACAAAAAACAAAACCAGCTTTGGGATATAACTCACATACCATGCACTTCACCCATTTAAAGTATACAATTCACAGAGCTGTGCATTTATCATCAAAATCAAGCTTAGGAAATGTTCATTACACCTAAAAGAAATCCTATGTCCTTTAGCCATTGATCACCCCCGATCCCTCCACCCTCTGTTCCAGTCCTAGGCAGTCACTAATGCATTTTCTGACTACAGATTGGCCCATGTAGGCATTTCACATAAATGGGATCATACAATATATTGTGCTTGTGATTGGCTTCTTTCACTTAGCTTATTATTTCCAAGGTCTATCTATGTTGTGGTATATATTGGTACTTCATTCCTTTTTATTATCAAATAATATTCCATTGTGTAGATATATCAATTTTGTTGACCCTTTAATCTTTTTTGACACTTGGGTTGCTTCGACCATTTAGCTGTTATGAATAACACTGTTATGAACACAGTTGTGTAAGTATCTGAGTCCCTCCTATAATAGTTTGGGGTAAATACCCAGCAGTAGAACTGTTGGATCATATGGTAATCCTAGGCTTAATTTTTTTGAGGAACTACCATACTGTTTTCAACGGCGGCTACACCATTTCACATTCCCACTAGCAATGCACAAGGGTTCTAATTTTTCCACATCCTCGCCAAGATTTGTTGTGAATGTGGAGTGGATCTAATTGTGGTTTTGGTTTGCATTTCCTTAATAGCTAATGATATTGAGCATCTTTTCACATGCTTGTGTCTCCAACACAAATGAAATTCATATAAAATTTTTGAAGGAATGTCTGCTTGGATCCTTGCCCAAGGATTATTTGTGTTGTTTGTGTGTTTTGTTTTGTTTGCCTTTTTATGTATTGAGTCTTTTTCTCATCTACTCACATGCAGATCTGATTCCTTTGTAAATCTGGGTAAGCTTAAACTGTAAAGTCTTTCGTTTGCAGGAGCCCCCTTTTCAAAGCACTCAGTGGGCTCTAGCACTGTGTCCATATGGACGTATATTATTATGAAAATTGGAAAAAATTGTTTTTAAACAATTGTTAAGACCTCTTTCCTTTCTGATTCCCTGAAGTCACACTTCCCTTCACATTGATTTGTGTTGGGTGGCCACAGAGGATTAGTGAACAGTATTCTAGAAGGTTCTCATCTGATTTCTCTTTTTCTTGTAGCTCCTGTCATCACTACTCCTCTAGAAACAGTGGATGCCTTAGTTGAAGAAGTGGCTACGTTCATGTGTGCAGTGGAATCCTATCCCCAGCCTGAAATTTCCTGGACCAGAAATAAAATTCTCATTAAGTAAGTGTTCTGGGGATCCCTGGGTGGCGCAGCGGTTTGACGCCTGCCTTTGGCCCAGGGCGCGATCCTGGAGACCCGGGATCGAATCCCACATCGGGCTCCCGGTGCATGGAGCCTGCTTCTCCCTCTGCCTGTGTCTCTGCCTCTCTCTCTCTCTCTCTCTCTCTCTCTCTCTCTCTCTGTGTGTGTGTGACTATCATAAATAAATAAAAATTAAAAAAAAAAAGAACTTAAAAAAAAAAAAGTAAGTGTTCTGCCTTTTTCTGGTAAGAATGCCCACTGCTGCCTTGCAATTTAACTTTGTCACAAATGTAATCACAGCTCTTTGGAGTATAAAAGCTCAGCTTCTAGAATATGAAAAATGCCAAATCTCTCATTTTATAAATGCAAGGTCTGAATATCAGTGAGGTTAAGAGAATTTCCCAAGGCAAAACAGAGATTTAATTGACTTGGAGACATCAGGGTTATTTCATGGACCCTGGGTTAGGACCCAGAGGAAATTTCAAGTAATTAGGAAACACCATGACATCCTAGGTCTGGGGGCATATGGCACATGTCTCAGGACATGCTGGGGAATTAATAGGGACCAGATTTATCTCCTCTATTTCTACTATCCCAATAAAGTCTGTTGTCTAGAAACCTGACCTCTAGGTCACCATAATTTTGTCTTTTGAACGTCAGAAGGGCCTCCTGATGTATAATGAGGCAGCCTCTCAAACAGATAAAATTCCCATTTGACATGAAAAGGTCATGCTATCTTTTCCTCGTTTACAGTAGTTATCTGATCAAAAATACTCTTTAAAAAATCTGTAATGAAGGCAACCACTGGCTTCCCAGCAGGCAATATAGCTTGCATTAGGGCCGGAGTCCTTAAACTGGGATCCAAAGACAGAGGTCTGTGAACTTGCATGCAGAAAAATTATGCCATTATTTGCACCAAACGTTAATGAAATTTAGTGTTTCCTTCTATTATACCTGTTGTAATGTGGGAAATCACCCTGTGCCATGGTCACCTTCAGGTTGCCTACCAGGCAAGTTATTCCAAAAGTCCTAGAATAGGAAGGCTCAAAATAAGGTGCTTGAAATACAGTTTATCAAATCCATTTAAAATATATAGATAGAAATAAGGGGAGAGAAATGGGATAAGTTAATGTACTTAGGAACCTTGGTTCACCCGATGTTTATATGTCCAGTCTCTCTTGTGCCTCAGACATCCCCACTGCAGTGTTCTTACAAGGACCCGCGTGGTGGCTGAGTCCACAGACAGAAGGTACCTGAAGCTAATAACGTATACTTTCTCTATTGGACAGATGCAAGCACATCTGGCCATGACTCTAGCTTGCCAAATAGCCAGCTGAACAGCCATGGATTTTAAGGGTTTTTCTTGGGTAGAGTGATGGGGCCATCCATAAAGGAACAATATTTTTTTTTGAGAGAGAGAGAGAGAAAGCGAGCAAGCAGGGAGGGGAAGAGGGAGAGAGAGAGAATCTCAAGTAGGTCCCATGCCCAGATGCAGAGCCTGACGTGGGGCTCACTCCCACAACCCCAAGATCATGACCTGAGCTGAAATCAAGAATCAGATGCCCAACTGACTGAGCCACCCAGTCACCCCAAGGGACATTTTATGTCACCAATGGGTGGTTGATTTAGGGACGACAGAGCTGTCAGTCTAGAGGCAGCATGATTATAAACTTGCCTTTCCATCCCTTTCCACTTGAAGCGATACTCTTCTCTGTTCCAACATATTTTTGATTAATTACATCAATCTTTGGCAGGCTGCTATTTTATTTACTGCCTATATTCAACACACCTTATCAGCTCTTCCTGTGTTTCACAAGTCACTCTCCTGTCTCCATTCAACACGAGTCATTGTGCCAATATCTCCTAAGCTTTTAGCTTTATAATTTATATGCTTGATATTCATGAGTTTTCTCTTTTATATGTTTTTGTCTTCTATAACAAGATAAATAAAATAATCTCTTTAAATAATACAGAAAAACTTCATTGTGAATATGGACCATGAATAACAGTGGTCATTAAAGAACCTGTGAAGTTATCACAGAAGTTAGATAGCTCTGTATTACATTACAGTTGTTGCATATATCTTGACATATTTATACTCTTCCCTACTTTGAAATTATAATAGTTGTTAGATACTCAACATTCAGTATTCAAAGGTCAATGTTCAAAGACTACTCTCCCCATCACAGCCCTCCAACTTGTCTGGGAAGGAAGTTTGATGCCTGTATTGTAAATAGCTTTGAAAAATATGGCCCTATGTCCTCTCATGGTTTATCTCTCAATATTATAAGGAGATGAAGAAATGGGCAGTGAGAGAGTTTTTAATTACACAAAGAAAATCATTATAAGTCTATCTCAGAAAACCATAAATATAAGCTCAGCTAACTTAGCTTGTAACACTATGAATAAAATCATTTAATACGTTTGAATCTTCCCTTTGTTATAAGGTAAAAATGTTACAAATAAATAAGAAGCAAGTGGAGCTACAGGTTTGATTAGTTAGTTGTTAGTCAAAGGATCTGTGAAATAGGAAAAAATGACATTTAGACAACATATTTGAGTGCCCTCTGAGGAATAATGAATAACTGGACACAGGAGAAACCTGACAAGCACTAGCTCACCCTGGTGATAAAGGTCAATATCAACAGTGAGAAATGACATCAATAGCGTATCCTTTTTATGATGTGATGTGACACTCTGTTTTTGTGATCTTCTTCCCCAAAGCCACAAGCCCAGTTTTATTGTGATAAAAACATAAGGCAAATTCCAATAGAGGGACCTCCTACAAAATACTTGATAAGGACTCCTCAAAACTGTCAAGGCTATCAAACACAAGGAAAGTCCTAGAAATTATCACAGCCAAAAAGAGCCGAAGAAGATATGACAAACGTAGTGTCCTGGATGAGACTATGGAACAAAGACATCAGATAAAAACTAAACAAATCTGAATAAACAAAGACTTATATAAACTAGTTAATACTATATCAATATTGGCTCACTAATTTAACAAACATACCGCACTAATCCAAGATGTTCACAACAGGGGAGACTGGATGAGGGAGGTATAGAAAAAGTACTATCTTTTCAATTTTTCTACAAATCTAAAACTGTTCTAAAAAATTCTAGTTTAAAAATTACTAATATTTGAGTGTTCCTCATAACCCATAAGCAATTTAGCAACAATGATGCAACAGCTTCTAAGTCTTGAAAATTTTCTATTTCACAGGGTGGTTGGACTCTTAGTCCACAAGTCCATCTGCAAAATATTCCAATGTTCATATATTTCCATGAACACTTAAACCTGGTAAAAACAAAACAAAATACAACAGAATTACATGAGAGTGAGTATCGTGGCTTGCCACAGTTATTTATTGTGATTTAGTGAACTACCCAGTGACGCCATTATCCTTAGTCACATTTGACCAAAATTTTTCCTCTTCAGGATCGGTGTATGATGGTAGCCACCTGTTGAGATTAGAACATCAAGAATCCACTTCCTTTTCCACTTTTCTTTTCACATGAGTTCCCTATTTCTACTGTAACAAATTACCAAAAACTTAGTGGCCTAAAACAATACAGATTCATTATCTTACAGATTGGGGGGTCAGAAGTCTGAAATAGGTCTCCCTGGGCTAAAATCAAGGCATTTACAGGGCTGCATTCTTTCTGGTGGCACCAAAGAAATTCTTGCCTTTCCCAACTTAGAGAGGGCTACCTGCCTTCCTTGCTCCTTCCTCCACTTTCTATCACTTTGCCCCCTGCCACCACTGTCTCATCTCCTCTCATTTTTCAGCTTCCTTCTACCATCTTTTAATGGCGGTCATGATTACATTGGACCAATCTGGATAAGCTGTGATACTCTATTTTAAGATCCTTGGTATCTGTAAAATCCCTTTTGCCACATAAGATAACATATTCACAGGTTCTGGGGATTAATTCGTGGATTTTTTTTTGGGGGGGGACATGTTTCTGCCTAATGCATACATTTTACATAAAGAATCTTTATTTGGTCCTAAAACCCACTTTTATGTTGATACTTCCCCTCAAATCTGTTTCCCTAATTCCCTTTTCAACTGATGGCATGTAATTTAATGAGATCATGTATATAAAACATCTACTTCTACAGTTTGAAGCTGTCCTGCTTCCTTATATATTCAAAAAAAAAAAAAGAACTATGCTTGACACTGGTTAGGCACTCAACAAATATTTGTTTAATAAATACTCAGCTAATTGTTAGTTGCTCCCATAAATATTTAGTTCTCCCTGCTGGTCACACATTTATGTGTGTGTGTTCATTCCCTGGCTGTTACTTTGCAATAATTATGGGGAGAAGACTCATATATCTTGGTAATCATAGACTTTCCTGAGTAAAGTAAACTTCATGTTTGGTCTCATCGACAGACATCACCTTTTGATAGCATTTTGGAGGGACTCAGTGGTGCTTTGATTATTGGAGCATAGGGAAGATTAGAATGCATTGTGAGCATTATATTGCCAACTAAGAATTCTCTAGAATTCTGAACTCATTCAACTTTCCTTTTGCTTTTAATCATCTTCCTCCATTGACAAGCCATCTTTTTTGATCAGTTTACCACGGCTGGAAAAAAAAAAATCACACTGGGGTCCTAACCTGCCATTGCTGTCTGTGACCTGCAGGCTCTTTGATACCCGGTACAGCATTCGAGAGAACGGACAGCTCCTCACCATCCTGAGTGTGGAAGACAGTGACGATGGCATCTACTGCTGCACCGCCAACAACGGCGTGGGGGGCGCCGCCGAGAGCTGTGGGGCTCTGCAAGTGAAGATGAGTGAGTGGGAGAGGGCCTCTGCTCGTGATGTTAAAAGGCTGGCTTGGTGCACCCTGGAGCAGGCAGTAAATAGGGCCTCCCGCACACCTGGAGGCTTAGCAGCCGGCTGAGTTCAAGTTCAAAACACAACCTTGCCGCAGTGAATTCTACACCTTGTATTCCTGTCCTCAGCCACAGGCAAGCCCCTTAGTTCTCTAGCTTCTCCTGTTTTCTGGCCTGTCCACAGCTCCTTGTCTGCTCCCCCCTCGCCCTCTTGTCACCAGGGAACTTTCCTCTAAAATCTTCTCCCTGTACCTTTAAAACAGTTCCCTTACGACCAGGTGCGCTTTTTATCTCCAACCTCTTTGCAGACACTTCTGCTCTTTTGCCTTATTTGAAACTTGATGTTCTTGGATGACTCTTCAAACTTGAGTGGCTTATCTTCTTTACTGGAGGCTGTTTATTTTCCCCCCACTTTTCCTGTCTACAAGGCTAGCAAGGACTCCTCACCCCCCTTTCAGTCATTATTGCTGTGCAAAGCCTTTCCTCTCATGAGGGCATGTGCCATTCTACCATTCTCTTTCTATTCAAGTCACCTCCCCATTTTTAAGTCCCCCCCCCACATGCACACACACATATACAATATCTGCCAAAGACTTTGATTCCAGACTCATTATCTTTCTATCCAACCTAAGTCCAGGCACCATCCTAATGGATTATAACAACCATGAAACAGCCTCTAGCCATTTCATCCTTACAACTCCTGACCTCCACAAGTCCAGTGATATTTGCCTTTTTATCAGCCAACCCCATCAACGACCTTGTCACCCCTAGGAAATGGTCTGTGTTTAAAATCTTAAGCTCCAGGATGTCATACTCTGAACATGGGCACTTCTATTTCTAGCTCTGTCCCATGAAGAAAACACTTTCCCACACTCGTGATGTGCCTCCAGAGAGAAGGCTCTTAACTCCATCTGTCTCTTTCTCAGCTAAGAACAGAGTCCAGCTCTCTTGCTCCCCCACTCCCACCACACGGCCATCACCAGCATGCTCACGTTCTCCTGCCCTGACTCCCCTGCTCTCCCTTCCACTGACCCCCCCAGTCAAGACTTACTCAGTTCTTGGTCCACTTGGTTTTCTCTCCTACCTGGTGTTCTATCATCAAGCACTCTTACCAGTACCCTGAAATCTCATGACCTCCTGTGCTAGAAGCACTATCTGCTTCCAAACTGTCCACCTGGTAATAATGCAATCTTTATTTTCTTCTGACACCATGCTGCTGATGGCAAAAATCACATCAAAATCCATGTGGGTGCCATACCAATCAGCAGGGGCCAGTTCCACCTGGGAATTTTATTGCAAGTTTTGTTGTTATTCCTGATTGTCGTCACTGTTTCTTTTATCTTTTATCTTTCTACTTTGTTGTCATTGTTTTGCTGAAGGGAGTCATTGCTGCTTCTTTTCAAAGCGTGAGCATGTGATCACATAAAATCTGAGGATGTATCTTCTGAATCTTTGCATCCCTGGAAGTCTTTACTTTGCCTTTACACCTGGATAATAATTTGTCTAGGTACAGATGAGAGTTTAAAAAGGCTCTTCCTGGGATCCCTGGGTGGCGCAGCGGTTTGGTGCCTGCCTTTGGCCCAGGGCGTGATCCTGGAGACCCGGGATCGAATCCCACATCGGGCTCCCGGTGCATGGAGCCTGCTTCTCCCTCTGCCTGTGTCTCTGCCTCTCTCTCTCTCTCTGTGACTATCATAAATAAATAAAAAATCTTAAAAAAAATAGAAAAAAAAGGCTCTTCCCTTAGCTTGTATTAAATAATTATTCATCTCACATGGCATTCCATGATTCAGCTGAGAAATCTTTTTCTTATTCCTGTAGGTAAGCCTAGTGTTTTTCTTAAAAATTATAGTACTTTCTCTTCATTTCTAGAATTCATAAATTTCTCAAACTGCCAAGAATATGTTAGGTGGGTTTTCTTTTATTATTTCTACTTAGTTTTAGGTGGGCCTTTTGAATCTAAAACCAACCTTTTTTTTTTTATGAGATATACTCTTTTCTATTTCTCTTCCTCTTCATTTTATCTCATTCTTAAACTTTTAACAAATGTTAGATCTCTTTCTTTTTCCATTTTTCATGACCTCAATATTTTCTCCTCATATTTTCTAGCTATCTATCCTGATATTCTTCCTTCTTGGAGATTTTTAAAATTTTTCCTTCCCTATCGCGAACTCACTCTTCAATATGACTATTCTATTATTTCTATTATTCTGCCCTTATACTGAGTACTTTGATCTTAAAAACCCATATTTTTAATTCCTGGGAATTACTTCTCTGCTCCTTTTTTCCCCCAGAGCAAACTCTGTGTGTTATATGATGCAGTATTTGCTCAAGTCCCTGTAAGGATATCACTACTGCATTTTTAAAATATAGTCTTCCTTTCCTTGCTTTGTTTCTGTTTTCCCCATGATTAAGTTTTGGATTTCTTTTGTTTTGTCTTTTTTCATGTTCGTGTTTTTTTCTCTCAATCATCTACTAATCTTTTATTTTTGATCATACTTATAAATGAAGTTGTAGATTCATTAGAATAGGAATGTTGAGGGGCTAATGGGGCATTGTGAGGAAGCTCACCTGGAGGTTTTGTGAGAAGGGGGTAGGGACATACCCACAAGAAAGCTTTCTTTTAGCATGTGGGGCAGTGAGGAAATCAAGTAAGGAAACTGGGATGTGCTCCTTTGCTAAATAATAAAGGCTTGATCCTGAAGGCAGAGCACATTTAAGTATTTCACTATTTTGTGGTTCTATCTTTCCTTTGAACATGTCTCATATTCTCTGTGGTTCTAAATTTTATTATGGATCTATCCTAAATATTCTTCTCTTCTTTTCTCCACCTTCTCCTTAGGAAAGCTCACACAGTCATGTGGGTATATGTTGGTATGGCCATCCCAGTTGTTAACATTTTAGAATGCTCCCACACCACTTGGTAGAGACCTTCTTCCTGAGATCCCTAAGACCCTGGCCTCCATCACTACTCCAGTTACCCTAGGATCTCTCCCAGGAGCTCCCTCCCCCAAGTTCCTTTTGGTCCATCAACTAAGGGTTTCATGCTGGCATAGCACGATGCTTCTAGCATCCTGCTATAACACGATAAACAGCTCACATTAGCGAGTGCTTGTGGCTCCACCTGAAGAGTGTTCCATTACAGTGGGGAATCCATGACTCAACATCAATGCTTATCTCATTCCCAGCTCACTTTATATTCAAGATACCATAAGAATTCTCTTCTCTCTCATCCAAAAGATGACCAAGGCTTCTATTTCACTGAAAAAGATGGGAGTTATTTGCTTTGAACAAAGGTTATCTTGGCAGAGGGATGAGTTCAAGGAACCCAAGGGAAGGAATGGGTAATGCTCTTTGACTAGGACATAGGAATATCAATTCTTAAGCTAAGCTTTTGCCAGCAGTCATATGACAACCCAACCCACAACTGAGGTGCCTGGCCATCATCATCAAATGTAGGTGTTCACTGATGTTGATTAGGAAAGTTATGAGCTTGAAGAAGGCAGGCCAAGTAACTAAGTTGATATTTTCCTATAACATGTTTAAAGCCTGTCACGGGGCAGCCGGGTGGCTCAGTTGTTTAGCGTTACTTTTGGCCCAGGGCATGATCCCAGGGCATGACCTGGGATCAAGTCCCGCATCCGGCTCCCTGCATGGAGCCTGCTTCTCCCTCTGCCTGTGTCTCTGCCTCTCCCTCTCTTTGTGTCTCTCATGAATAAATAAATAAAATCTTTTTAAAAAGCCTGTCTTGTAATTTTGCCATAATCCAAGATCATACCAACTCTAAATGGCAATAAATGCCTAGATTAAACATCAAAAGACCATGCAGTCTTTGCAAATACTATTTCCAACCACCCCTAACTCCTAGAAGCACAATTAAAACAGGAGGGAAAAGTGCTTATGAAATAAGCTTTTTTTTTTCATGCTTTTCTCCATCAAAGTAACACACTGATTATATAGCATATGACCTGAGGGAAATAAAATGTATCCATTTCTCAGTAGTCTCTCCTGAAAAGACAGTCCTCTGTTTTATATCTGTAACATGAGATCACCAAGGAAATGAATGTAGTTTTCATTATTATGAATGTTTCAAGTAGTAAAATAATAGGCATCCTGAACTTGTCAATTCTTCTACACATTAGATTTAATAACTTCTTCTGAAAGTTTACTATCAGAGAATAAACAGTAGGTGGTATAAATTATTTCTTCTGATAGAATTAATTTAAGAGAGTTTCACAGAAAAGTAAATTACAAAAGTTTGCCTCGCAGAGTACAGTTACTCTAAATTGTATGACCAAATTTCTCCAATTACTAATATAATAATGTCGAGTTTGGGGGATCCCTGGGTGGCTCAGCGGTTCAGCACCTGCCTTCAGCCCAGGGCATGATCCTGGAGTCCCAGGATCGAGTCCCACGTCAGGCTCCTGACATGGAGCCTGCTTCTCCCTCTGCCTGTGTCTCTGCCTCTCTCTCTGTGTCTATCATGAATAAATTAAAAAAAAAATCTTAAAAAAAATAATAATGTCGAGTTTACTTTCTACAAATATATCTAATTCTTAATCACTAAAATTAAGAGTCAAAGTTAGATGAAACTAAAGGGAGAGGGAAAGCAAAATTCAGAATTATATTAAAAGTAGATAAAAAACTAATAAAAAATAAAAATAGATTAGAAATGTCCCTTCAAATGTTTTCGTGTTTGTTGGTATGAATTGGATACTGTTGAATTGTTAAGGTAACAGTTTATTTTAATCAACTTTTTATTAACTATCTTTTAAAGTGAAGAATACTAGGACTTCAAACTCCTAATATGTTTCATGAATTTGTGGTTTTCAAATAAGATATGAATAAAACAGATAACCAAAACTTTGAAAAATGGTTTTTGTTTGATATACCCTCAAAACCTGTCTTAGCATTTGGCATATCTTGTAATGTAACAACCTATTCTTAGAGTGGATATTTAGACTTAATGCAGCCATATTGCCTTTTTAATTTTGAATTTTTGTTTCCCTTTAGAGCCGAAAATAACTCGTCCTCCCATAAACGTAAAAATAATAGAAGGATTAAAGGCAGTTCTCCCGTGTACTACAATGGGCAATCCTAAACCATCAGTGTCGTGGATTAAGGGGGACAGTGCTCTCAGGGTAAGTGATTATTATGAAAACATGTCTATACAACTAGTTTTCAAATACAACAAATCTTTGCAAAGTGAGTTACATGATTACAAATTTCTAACATGAAAAATTTTCCCATATATGACATTTTCACCAACCTTAAATATTCCTGTTCCCACTAACCGTAAGGCATTCCAGTTGGGACTGGTTAGAGAAAAAAAAAAAGAGAGAGAGAGAGAGAGAGAGAGATGGGAACCAGTAGTTCTTTTTAGGGATGAAAAAGGAAGCAAAGCAAAAGCAAAGCTAGAATGTTTCTTTGTTGATCAGTTGGTTAGTAGAATTGTTTTATTTTTTTAACATTGAAACTTTGAGACACAGAAGATGAAAAAGATGAAACTAAAATCCAGGTTTTAGACCTGACAAACAGTTTCTGGGAGGAGAGTTGAGAAAAGAGGTTTGCTTTTTTTCTTTTTCTTTTTTTTCTTTTTTTTTTTAACATTTTATTTATTTATTTGAGAGAGAGAAAGCAAGAGCAAGCAGGGAGAGGGGAGGAGGGAGAGGGAGAAACAGGCCCCCTGCTGAGCAGGGATCCTGGCATAGGCCTCCATCCCAGGATCCTGGGATCATGACCTGAGCCAAAGACAGGTGCTTAACCCACTAAGCCACCCAGGTGCCCAGAGAAAGGAGGTTTGGAAGAAAAGTAATGAGAACCTCTGGAGTGAAGTTACAGCACAGACATCAAGACTGGTGAAACTCTCCCTAGCAGAGTTTATCTCAGTCACAGAGCAGCCAAATTAAAAATCTATTATGTACATGCTTTTAACGCTTTTGTATCTCATACCTACATTTACTGGTAAATGATTACACTGCATCATTGTTGTCACCTACTAAGTGTAAATTCAGGGAGGTTTTTCATTTTACTATGCTGAGAATATTCCACAGAGAATATGTAGGTGTTGATACACGTCAATTAACTGAAATGAAGTATAATATCAATTAGCTTTATTTAAAATAAAACAAAAATGTTAAATTGTTTATGGTAATTATATAATTTTTGACTTTCCTTTTGTTATAAATATTGGTGGATTTCCTAAAATTAAAAATGCAGGAATTTTTGTATAATACTAAATTTAGAGTACTCAAAGGGAAAGTAATTGTGATGTTTTAACTTTCAACACCAATTATGTATTATTGGTAGAAATTTCTAATTTTTCAAAAGACATATATCCCCCTAAGGATACCATATAAAGTGTTTTAACTCAAACAGACTTGGATGTGACTTTTAGGAAATCAAATAAACCTTTGGTGTCCTCATGTGATGAAAGAAAATGAAAATAAACTCTATCTTACAGAATCATTACTAAAATTAATTTAGGTAATCTTATACTGTCTCATTTAATATTGTGTATTATACCATCTAAATGCCAAATAAGTGTTCCAATGATATTTTTGATGATAGCAGCAATGATGATGACCTGATAAAGTAAGGCAAGTGATTTCTTGATAAAGCCATGGACATTTTAAAATTCCTGTCCCTATCCCTGGCAGGAAAATTCCCGCATCGCAGTTCTTGAATCTGGGAGTTTAAGGATTCATAATGTGCAAAAGGAAGATGCAGGACATTATCGATGTGTGGCAAAAAACAGCCTCGGGACGGCATATTCCAAATTGGTGAAGCTGGAAGTTGAGGGTAAGGAGTTGCATTCCTTCCCATTATGGTGCTATTGGAAGGGCCTCACATTCTACTGTGAAGGCTGGATATTAATTTGCAAAGGCAGAGATGTGGGTAGACCAGTTCCCTCAACTGTTCCAGATACTAAACCATAAGGTCAAAACTCTGAAAAGAAAAACTGAAAAGAGAAAGAGGCGTTCGCTAGTATAATAGCTTATATTCCATCTATTGCCCACAATAACTGGTAATTTTGACAAACCCAGACTAAATTCAGACTAAAATACTAAAACAGGAGGATATCAGTTCAGAACTTATGTCTGGTTTGCACAATTCTCTCTTGCTTATAAATTTGAAAACCCTCATTTTACCTTTTTCAGCATATGGACATGACTTTTAAAAAGATCAAAAGAAAAAAAAGTAACTTTTCAGATTGTATTGCATCACACAGGGTTGAAAAAAATAAAATACTCAAAATGTATAACTAAAAATGTTCCTACTTCTCTGACTTACATTGCCAAAGTATTTTTTCATTCTTTAAAATGTTCTTTTAAAGCCAACCAATTCGGCAATTAGTTGTAAAGGTCTTCACTGAGAAATCAGAATCCAGATAGGACTAGGTGTTGTACCCATTTGATTGTCAGATCCTTCTTGACCTAAAATTACATCACATTTTGCTTAAAAATAGAAACTACCAGCATGCCTGTGCTCAGTGAGCAAACTGGGTACAAAACTCTTCCCAGCTCTTCCTGTAATATGCTGTAGAATTAATCTCTGGCTCCCAGTTTTCTCATCTGAAAAGTGGGATTTGTTATGAGTATTCAGTGAGGTAAGGTGTTGATATTATCTAGCTGAGTGGCTGGCCCTTTGTAAACACTCAATAAATGTTGACTATAAGATTCATCACCTGTTTTTCTGCTTTTCTCTTTTCTGGTTGATAAAATATTTGGGCTTTCTTACACTGGCCCATATTATAGTTCAACTGAGAGAGATTTCAGGAGTTCCCCATAGCTTACTTTGATTCCATCCTACTCGCTTAAGCCCGTATCTCTTCCTTCTCAGTCACAGTGTTTTATTAGCTTCTTTTAGATTATTTTTATTTCCTAGCTAGGCCTTCCTCTCACAGTATTAATAATCTCATAACCCACATCTGCTTCTAATTGAGGTAACATATTTATTACATCATTACATTGTTCATAGAATCTCTACTAACTCCTTATGGAAAAGAATGAGGCTGATGGGAATAATGGCTGTCAGACATAAAAAAATATATATATTTTCCGCATAGTTGCTATAATTTAGTATCTTCTACATTAGCAATGGCATTTAAAACATTTTTGCATTTATGCAAAACCAGTTGATGTGACATATTCAGTGAAAAGTAAACATAAAAACACACTCAATCACACATTTAGACACTGACTAGCTGCCTGGATTCAGTGTTTCCTTGAGCTATACATGGAATAATACATAATGAATGTTATCCATTTGTATATAATATCATAAAGATTTTCCTCTTCAAGATTTAAATATAAGACCTCTGTATTATAATATAGAATGCTGACTGATTAGGTCCCTATCCACATAGATGCTGAAATTATTTGCTTTAACACTGTCCCAGAGAAAATGAACACAACTCACAATTAGTTGGAGTCCAGTTACAGTTTTGTCTAGGCTTGCCATTTAATTCTGTATCCCACCCATCACACCTATATCACACCTACCTATATCACACATAAATACAGTCTTCTTTCTTCTTAACACTAAACTGGTCATGCTCATTGCTTTAACAGTTAACGTAGAGAGAGGTTTTATTAAACTTGCTAGTCTCAATAGCTCATAATATTTAAAGTTACTCTAACAATAGGCAGGATGGCCATTTTAGCACACATCTATTTCTACTCCATTTTAGTCCCTATTAAAGCAGCCAATATTTGTGACATGCTTAGCATGGTGGCTGGTACATAATAAACATTTAATAAATGGCATCAAGTATAATTATTACTATTATAGCATAAAAATTGTAGCAAATCTGTGTGGCTTGTCTTGAAGTTCTGAAAGATTGGCTTCCACTTAAAGAAATAGTTAAGGCATTTTCACAAGATATAATGCAGACATGATCTATTTAAAGGAAGGACCAAGTTAACTGGCAATTCAGAACAGGTGAAAAACCAACTGAAAAGCACAATTCCGAATGTGTCTGTAAATATCTACTAACTGGGCAATAATGAGGGCTGAAGATAAAGCTGGGCCATAGTCACTGAGGCAGATGAGCATTTGTTATATATTGTGTCAGTCACTCTGGAAATTAGCTTAAGCAAATTAGAATGAGAACACCATAATGTCATTCAGTGCTGGGCTACACGTCCTGCACATGATCGTCACGGAAAAGTTGTATAAAATCTTTAAAAACTAAAATAAAATCTTTAAAAGTGGGGAGGCGCCTGGGTGGTTCAGTTAGTTAAGTGGCTGACTTCAGCTCAGGTCCTGATCTCGGGGTCCCGAGATCGAGTCCTACATCTGGCTCCATGCTCAGCAGGGAGTCTGCTCCTTCCCTTCCTTCACCTTCTCCCACTGCCTCTCCCCACTTCTCATGCCTGTGCTTTCTCCCCCCCCCTCAAATAGATAACTAAAATATTAAAAAAAGAAAAAGTAAAGTTGTTTGCCATTTCTAGCTTCTAAAAAGGAGAGGCATACTAATTGTAGATTTGGTAGTGTGTTATCACTGAATCTTAGCTGCCGTAACAAACATGGAACAGTCTTCAACACAAAAGTTAAGCTCCCGCTAGAGACTGCCATCCTCAGGCTGCTGTATCTTTGGAGTGACAACAGGAAGATATTCCGCTTTTCTGTCTTAACTTAAATGGTTCAAACAGTGACATATAAAATTACTAATGAAACCTTCTAACTCAAGTATAGCCAAACATGGATGTCCTCCCAAAAGGATGAGCAATGGCTAACATTTTAAAATGCTGTTTACATGGGTAATTTTATTGAAAGCTCACTAACAGTCAGTGAGGAACGTCCTATCATGGCACCATAATAAGAAACTAAGGAACAGAGAGCACAACTAACTTAGGTGTCTAAGAGATTGAATAATGCTAAATACTGTGTTTTCTATTAAAGAACAGATGATCACATGTGACATTGCCAAGAGCAGTGACAGAAGGGGGGGGGGGAGAGAAAAAGCCAAGATTCTATAAATGACAGAGAATGGGAGCTGACAAAAAGAGACAGTGGGTGTCAGCAAATTTTTAAATAAATTTGGTAGATAAAAGGGAAAAGTCAAGAAAGTGAGCAGTAGCTGGAGATATATGGTATAGAGGTAAGGTTGCTTTGCAAGATTTCTCTTGTAACAAGATTAAAATGTTAAACAATAGTGAAAATGTTAAAATATGAATGAGAAGAGGCTCAGAGAAAAGGATATTTGAACATAAAAGAGAAGTAGGATGTTCAAGGGCATGTCATGCTTGAGAAAGCAAAAACAGTGTATTCAGGGGACAAGTAGAGTGATATATCCTATACAGAGGGTGACCATTTGTCCCAGTTTGCCCAGGATAGTTCTGGTTTACACCTGTTGTCCTGGAATAATTATTAATAGAGTCCTCCTTGTACCTTCGAAAGTATCCAGGCTTCCATGATATGATCACTGTACTTAGGAAGAAGGAACTTCCTTCCTTGTAATAGGAAGGAGAAAGGGGAGGTATATTCTAGTATAAACGAGTTAATGAGCTTGGTAGATGGAATTTGAGAAAGCTCTGTTGGTTTCTATTTCCTTTGGGAAGTAGAAAGTAAGTTTATCTTCTGAAAATACTTCTGTAAAGGGAGGTAGAAGGCTGAGGAAGAGTGGAAAGGTTTTAAAATAGCTGTGGGGAATGGGAGAGATGACTCACAAGGGGAACTAGGATTGCTAGGTAACATTAAAGCTTTGGTAGAGAATGGGACTGTGAATATGAATAACATCAATGTGCTTCATCACAGAAAAAGTAGAAGTTCAGAAAAAGTACAATGCCAAGTCCAAAGGCAAGATACATGCATTGTAGTTTGCCAGGAAGGAAAACAGGGAAGAGGATTTGAGAATAATTGCAAAAGAATGGTTGAAACAATTAATCAATATTTGTACCAAATATACAAATGTAGGATTAAACACTTATAGCTCCCACAAAATGACAGACAAGATAACATGAACATCTTCCTACTACAAACACCCAGAATTGCTGCGTTAGTCATACAACCCACAGAATAAAATTATATTTCCAGAGGCCATGAATAAATAGGAATTGAAAAAACAGCAGTAAGCTCATGAACTGGTTCTGTATTGTCCTGGAGGTAATGGCACAAGTGTCCATCTCTGTAACTTAGAATACCAGTATTAAGACTCTTTTTTTTTTTTTTTTTTTTTTTTTTTTTAGTATTAAGACTCTTAAGCAGATGGGAGACAATGTCCTGAGCCCCTGTTAAGGAAGATTAGCATTGAGAACTTTCTATAAAGCTGAGAATCATAGAAGTGAAAAGATGGACCAGAAAAATTCCATCTGATGGCACAGAAAGACAATGCAGAGGCTTGTCTCTACCTGAATTCTAGGTGTGAGAAAGAAGAAAACAAGTTTTCCTAGGAATGAATCTATATACAATGCTCAGGATTATAGGTTTGATCTCATGTAGGTTTGATATTAAATTCACACTGTCAGTACAGTCTGGGGCTCTCAAGCTAGAGAAATTAACATAAAAGTTGACCGCCGACAATTTAACAACAAAAAAGCTTTTAAAAATACCTTACCCAGATAGGATTTTCATGATAAAATCTCAACCTCAGAGGATTCAACCTCAACACTGAGGATGAATTCACAATGCAAAATTATAACATCCATAGTTAGCTGATAAAATATACAAAGGGATCAAAAACCCAGGAAATTCAACTAACACAATATAACAGAGACTTGAAAATAAATATGTTTAAACTAAGTAAAGACATAAAAGGAGAAAAAAAAGAAAAATACATTAGAAGAAAGGCAGTTCTG